TTGAGACACAGGCGCACCGCAGAGTGGCATTAGTGAATAATAATACTCTCTCCCATGGCCCACCAAGAAGTCCCAAATAATAATATCCATAAATTGCAACCAGGAAAGTGCGAGAGACTCTATTTGGGGAAAAGGATAGGGGAATATCCAAAGGCAAGCCACCAGAGGGTTTTAAGTCTGGTGCCCATAGCAACAACAAACCTCACAAGTAACTATAGCTACAGCTTCAAACACACCCCAGCTCCTGGCTAGATTATTACAAATTCCTATTACCTCAGTATCTCCTGCCCTAATATGTCCAGCTTCAATAAAGAAGTACAAGGCATACCAAAGACAAGAAAAACATTCTGAAGAAAGCAATCTTTAGAGCTAGACTCAAACATGACATAGATGATGGAACTAAAAGTTTGGGTATTTAAAATAACTATGATTAAAATGTTAAAAGCTCTAATGGAAAAGATAGACCATGTGCAAGATTAGGTAGGTAATTTTACTAATGGAAACTCAAATATAAATGCCCCAAACCAAAAACATGGTCAAGAAAATGAATAATTATGCTTCTGACAAGTTCATCAGTAGGAACATTGCTGTTTAGGAAAGAATCAGTGAACTTAATGACAGATGATAGAAATTATACAAACTGAAAATGCAAGGAAGAATAAAGTTGAGGCGGGGGGGAACCCAAACAACATTTAAGAGCTATGAGGTAACAGCAAAAGATAAGTACTTTTTCTTTCATGGCAGGAAAAAAATATATATTTACATATTGCAAGGTCTTCAGTATCTTTGGTAATAAAGAACAAAACATGGGGACATTACTTTTTGCCCAAAGATTGACAAAAATAAAAGACAGATATCAAATATTGAGAAAATGGTATCTTTAAATTATTGGTGAAATTATAAATTGGTATGATCTTTTTGGAAGAAATCCTGGTAGTAGCTATAAAAATTTAAATGTGCTTATTCTTCTTCCAAAAAATTCTACTTCTTCCATTGTCCATCACAGAGAAATGTATACACATGTTTTGATACCCAAGAATCATATGTTTGATACCCATCACATAAACCCCCTATTTGTAAGAGAAAAAAATTAGAAATGATATAAATGATGAATAACAACAAGGTAACTATTATGTAAGTATATCTATCCATTTTATGGAATTTTTATAACAGATATGTGTATAATGTGGTAATCTACATGTACTAACATGAAAAACTGTAAGACATAATAATGTAGAGTGAAAAAAATCAAGTTACATTAAATATGACACTATCTACAACTATTAAAGATCTAATGGATGTTAAAACTGCAAAAGGTTGATGTGCATGTTGTCAAAGTGCCCCCCGCATATTTGTTAATGGCAAAAGGAAAATATTTTTATAGTAGGGGAATTAGGCAATTGCTACCTTAACCTAGGGAGTAAGACGACTACTATAGCTTGTAAGGAGATCACCAGATATTATCGCTTGACAGGATGCAATATGCAAAATACAACATCACCTATAAATATATTTATGCGGGGCTGGAGTTGTGGCTCAGTGGTAGAGCACTTGCCTGGCATATGTGAGGCCCTGGGTTCAAATCTCAGCACTGCATATAAATAAATAAAATTGACAATTAAAAATACAAAAATAAATAAATAAATATATTTATGCACCCAAATTTTACCTGATTTAAACCTAACTTTTAGTTTACATGAAATATAGAGGATAGAAGGAACAAATTAAACAATAATACCAAGAAACAATCAGACCAACTTGGAACCTAAGGCCTTATTATAGAAAATTGACTTGATATCTCCAAAAACTCAGTGGAAAAAATCATAGTTCAGGACAGGAAGACAGGAGCATTTTAAGCTAAGGAGATTTAAATGACATAAGGGTAAGAGGTAGTTTGTGACTGGATTGAAAATAGCTATATAAAATAACTTGGGGGGCTTGGATTGTGGCTCAGTGGTAGAGCGTATGGGTGGGACATGGGTTCAATCCTCAGCACCACATAAAAATAAAGGCATTGTGTTGTGTCCATCTATACCTAAAAAAATAAATTGAAAAAAAAAACAAGAAAAGATAACTTGGACCTACTTGGGGAAATTTGAATCTGGGATAGGTATTAAAGACATTAGGGAATTAATGTTATTTTTGCTGGATATAAGCAAATTGTGGTTATATTTAAAAAAAAAAAAAAAGGCCTTATTTTGGGGAGACAAATTTAGGAGTGAGTCTTGATGTTTGTAATTCACTTTAGAATAGTTCAGCAAAGAAAAAGTTTATACAGCAGGTGTAAAGTATATACTTTTCTTGAATAGAGATGTATTTCTATACGTGTTGCATATGTATGTAAAAGGAAAATTACATTCACAGTGATCAGCATCAGAGAGAGGACTGGAAAGAGAACTGCAATTAGGCAAATGGATGCAAAGGGCAGGTCAAACACAAAAGAAAACAGAAACATAGCAAAACACATAGATGGTGTACCAACCTTAACAAATTCAACTGCTCTTGGAGAAAAATCACAGGCATAGGCAAAGATATTCATATCTTCTTCTAAAAGCGGGAATAAACAATTTCCAACCCCACAACCAGCTTCAAGCATGGTTAATTTTTGGCCTTCAAACTGGTGAAAGAGAACCCAAAGTTATAATACATTATATTTGAATAATGAAGAAATAAACCAAACTAAAAGGCCCAGAATGTGAGCGACAAAGTCTTTCATCCCACTGAACAGATGATAAACAACAGAACTAATAAAAGTTAATACCGGTACCTCACATATCATCATCCAACATTGGGCAGGTTGTGCAGAAAAAAACCCAATATACTGGCTAACTGAACAGATTCTGAAGCTAAACTACCTGCACTCAAACCCCAAATCCTCCTCTGCCCCTGCAGTCTATCCTTGGGCAATCACTTCAATAGCCCTGGGCCTCAGCTTTACATACAAATGGGAATAACAATACACTTCGCAGATTTAGGTTTGAGAAAACAAGTCTTCTTAGAAAAAGGGCCACAATAAATAGTTCATTAATTGCTATTATTTTCAATTTGTCACTAAATTCACTCAGTACAAATGAATATTTAATATTTACAACTTTCAGAGCAGCCTTTAAAAAAAAAACACAGAAAATCTATGCGTGTCCTCTCTTCTAAACATTAGCTAAAAATCGCTAAAACTACGGACCAAATACATATTTCTTTCCTAAGGTACCAAGCATTTTGATAGACTTCATAAATTTTCTACTTTACACTGCCTTCAGAATGCAATAAAGCACCCCTCTTCCACACACCTGTTCCAAATGAAGAACAGTTCAGGATAAGGTGAAATATTAGCTTACCTCCCTACATAATCTTAGCTCCTCAAACTCTCTGGTGGTCCAGTGTCTATCTTTGAAAAAATTGGTAGTATTTCTTTTGTAAAAAAGGTCCCAGTTCTTCTGAGCATCTTTTTCCAGTTTTTGTTGTTTAAAATCAGACACCAAAGCTTGGTCTCTTTTCAGTTTCTCCTCTTCTTCAGAACTGAGAATTCTTGCCTGCAGTCCTTTCCTTTGTGATGAAGCCATCTCATATGTTGGTGGCAATGCATTTAACACTAATGAAGATTCTCCATCCTTGCATAATTTGAGGAATCCATACTGACACTGAAGACACAGGGTTTTCTCAGATGGGTTTTCTTCAGGCCTGCGGTGCTTCATACAAAAAAGAATGAGATTCCCACTAGGAATTCTAGAGCAATTCTTTAGAATGCAGAGTGAGTGGTTCTACAATAGTTTTTTTTTTTTCCTGGTACCAGGGGATAGAATGTAAGGGTGCTTAAGCACTGAGTCACACCCCCCAGCCTTTCTTATGTTTTATGTTGAGACAGGGTCTCACTAAATTGCTAAGGCTGGCCTCCAAATTGTGATCCTCCTGCTTCAGCCTCCTGAGTAGCTGATATTACAAGGGTGTGCCACTGCGCCCGGCTTTACAATAGCTGTTGGGGACGCTGGGTTCTGTTTATCAAACACGGTGCTTCCTAGAGGAAGAAAAAAAAAAGCTCATTAGGGGTTCTAGAGCTCTTTAGCAGGGTCGATGGTTCTAAAATAGTACTTTCAGAGGCTGGGTTCCATTCATCAAACACCAGATGCTGTCTCTACACAAAACCCTGCCCCCTAAAGGAGGAGAGGTCACAAAGAAGATCAAGACAAGTTTCTACCTTCAGAGGGCTTACATTCAGTAGCCAGGACGGTTTCACGCGCCGAACTCTAATTCAAACCGGAATGAGTCAACTATTACAATAAGTCGGTTTAGTTCAGAAAAAGAACCACCTCCGTGAATAGACTGAGAAACTTTGAAAAGAAAATACTCATCCATCTTCGGTGCCCGTCAAAGGGGTGACTTAAAAAACAACCACAACAGCTGCCCGAACTGAAAGCGGGTGGTCAATCGCCCAACAGAAGCAGGATCGGCGCTTCCTTAGGGTCGGAGACAGGCTTTCTGGGAGGACACAGAGCTAAGCTCTGACCGCAATCACAAGAAGCTGCCGCATGAACCAGAGGGAGACGCGCTTTCTAGGGGGCCAAAGTCCTCTCACCGTCATCGCGGCGCCAAGTAGGGGTAGTGACCCAAGGACACGTGGTTAATGTCCCGAGGACCCATCTCTCGCAGGACACTCGGGATAAACTAGGCCGCACGTGTCACTAAGGAAATGAGGAGAGCGGCCCACATTAGTTATGAGACTCGAGTTAAAGTAGTTCTCCACGCTCTGGGCTCGACCGCCATCAGTTCCCTGACTCACCTACAGGGTAGGGCAGGGCACACTCACCCCTCAACCAAGCACGGGCTCCGAAGATAGAATTCGGGAACCGCGGTGAAACATCCTGAGCATTCACTAACCAGCGAGGAGAACTTCGAATTAGGATTTTCCCGGCGGCCTTCTCTTACCGTGGCACCACCTCTGCTACTTCCGCTAGGAACTCGGAAGTACCTACCAAACGCCGGAAGTCCTGCGGCCTTGCTTCCTCAGAGTCTTCCCAGGTCCTGACGCAGAGACTCGTTTCCGGTCCCAGGTGGGCGGCGGCTTGGCTGTCCGTGCGCTCCGGAGCGGTGTTCCGGGAGCACCGTCCTCCCGGGCACCAGTGCCTGGAGCTCGTGCTGGGGCCGCGCCGAGAAAGAACCGATCTGGGCGCGAGGCAGGTGCGGGGCCATGAACGGGACCGCGAACCCGCTGCTGGATCGCGAGGAGCATTGCCTGCGGCTCGGGGAGAGCTTCGAAAAGCGGCCACGGGCCTCCTTCCACACCATCCGCTGTAAGTCAGCGCACCAGTCGCCACATGCCAACCTCGGCTCCCTCCTTTCTTCCTTCGGCCTTCCGGGGTCCGGGGACTTCCCTGCCAGCGTCAGTTCCCCTCTCTTTTACCCCAGATCCTCTGGGACCCCGATTTGCAACTTTCATTCTTTTCTTTTTTCTTTTCTTTTCTGGATTACTCCTCCCGAACAAAATCTTTCGTCACTCCCAAATGTTCATTTACCTTATAATCCTAAACATGAACCCCGAAGGTCACTGGCCTCTTTCTTATTTCATCCTCTCGACCCAACTCCCAAACCGAACTTCTCTTCTCCCTCGAATCCTTTTCCATTTCTATTATCCTAGAGGTGATGGTGGTGGTGCGGGGGGGCGGGGGGCTGCATACTTAAAGGATTTATCGTTTGCTGTAAGCCTCATTTGCTTCTTTCAGTTTCATTCTGTTCTCTGCTTTCTTCAGCTTTCCCACCCTCTTCTGTCTTGGTTTTAGTCATCCTGACACTTTGCTGTGTCTCCACTTCAACCAAGGAATCTGCATCCTTTCTGCGCTCTGTCAGATCCGTCGCGCCACCCCCGACCTCCACGCCTTTCGTGCCTTTAAACTGAAGTCTTTTGAGGTCATCCGCACCACCCTGGTTTCTGGACCAGGTCCCTTGTGGAGAAGAATAAAATTAGAATTTGTGAACCTGGCATAGGTTAAGGTTGGATCTATGTTTGGAAACAGAATAGAGCAGACATAAAGAATGTGGAAATAGTCATTATGCTGGACCTTCTTCTCTGTGATTATAGACTGTTGAGAGGGGGTACTTATATTCTGTCCTGGGTGAAGATTTGGCTATTAGGAATTGGCTGACTGAGCATCCCCCTGTGATTCACATGCTTCTGGTTTCCTGTAGTGCTAACATTGGTTGAGGCTTGTTTTCATCAGAGGAACTAATAGATGTGACTCAACACATAGGAAGAGGGTGTGTTAGAAAATGAAGTTCCATCTTTGTGTGGCCTCTTGCTGTGCCATTTCTGTGCTTCTTACTGATAGCAGATTCAGCCCTTTCAAAGAGAGGATATTGGGAATGTGATTAAACCTTCATTTCCTGAGTTTGCTAAGTTGATCTATTCCTCCAATGAAGGGAAACGTTCATGTACACTCCTGGCTTGCAGTTTGAGGCAAGTGTGGGTTAAAGGTGAAGTAAGATGGCTATTTGGGTTGTGCTTTAACTGCGATTCAGAAACACCAGCAGGATAACCTTTGGAAATACAGCCCAACCATCTATCTGGTCTGAATATCTGCAGAAGTTATGGAATTGAGTGTAGTAAATTTTTTTGTTGTTGTTGTTGTTACAAGTTATTGTACCCAAGGGCACTTAACCAGTGAGCCACATCCCCAGCCTTTTTTTTTTTCTTTTTTCTTTTGAGACAGTCTCACTAGGTTTACAGCCTCACTAAGTTTTTGAGGCTAGCTGTGCATCTGCAGTCTTCCTCCCTCAGCCTTCCGAGTCACTGGGATTACAGGGGTGTGCTGCCATGTCCAGTAAGTGTGGCAAATTCTGACAGCTTCTATGCAAAATGGAATTATCTTTTATGATGCTGTGGCCTTTTTCATATAGGGTTTACAATCAAGTATTTTTTTCATATGCTTCATTGCTTTTGATCTTCATTACCCTAATAAAACACTTTATTGTGGATGATGAGGCATGGGTTTTCAACTGTCCCTCGAGAGAAGGAAATGGTTTAGACCCCTTTACCCCCTGCCCAATATAATCATATGGGGGTTGGAGCAAAAGTATATGGAATTGTCTCTGAGATAGTAATTATTGAAGCTGAATGAAGGTACTTGTGGGTTTATTGTACTTTTCTCTCTATTTTTGCAAAAATGAAGTTTTCCATAATAAAATGGTTTTTAAAGAATTCTAAATGATTTTTGCTTTCCATGTATGTAATAAAAATTTTAATTCTTAGCTGAGCATGTGGTGGTGCACATCTGTAATCCCAGTGACTAAGGAGGCTGAGGCAGGAAAATCACAAATTTGAGGCCAGCCTAGGCAACTTAGCAAGACCTTGACTCAAAATAAAATAAAAAAGGACTAGGGGAATAGCTCGTTGGTAGAGTGCTTGCCTAGCATGTGCAAGGTTGTGGGTCCAATCCCCAGTACCTCAAAAAAGAAAAGAAGAAAAAAAATTAATTTTTAAATGAAAATGTCCAGGAATCCCTTATTCTTAGTAACTTGGTCTTTTCCTTTATCTTTAGATGATTTTAAACCAGCATCTATAGACACGTCCTGTGAAGGAGAGCTTCAGGTTGGCAAAGGAGATGAAGTCACAATTACATTGCCACATATTCCTGTAAGTTTATCCCATTGTTGTTGGTTTTAATGAAAGCATCAGTGAATCCTTGTATATGATTATATTGCAATTTGAATTTTCAACTGTAAAAACTTTTAGATTTCTAAAGTGCCAACATATGTACAAAAGGAATTTTGAATCATGGGGATGGGGTAGAGTTCAATCAAGTTACTCAGGCACTTGGTTAAAATGTTTGTCATTTTCCCCAAGTTCCCCTTGCCCCCTATATGCTACAAAGACAGCGAGGTTCCTATGTGGACACCTAGCACCTCTGTTAAATGTACATAGTTTTTCTCCTAAGCAGCTCTGAAGAGAAAAGCCCCAGTGCCCTACTGATAAATAGCCATATCAGATACTGAGCAAACCAAAGGTTTGGAGCATGTGGGCAATTTAAGGATGAAAAACTCAGTTAAAAACTACATTGAAGCCAGATGCGTTGGTACACGCCTATAATTTGGCTACTTGGAGGTTAAGGCAGAAGAATTGCAAATTTCAGACCAGCCCAGGCAATCTTGTAAGACTCTGTCTCAAGATTAAATAAAAAAGAGGTCTGGGGATGTAGCTCAGTGGAGGAGCATGCTCTTAGCATGCAGCAAGCCCTGGCTCTAGTCCCCAGACCAAATAAATAAGGCAAAAAAAAAAAAAAAATCCTCTTCTGATTACAAGATGCTCTTTGTAAACGTGTCATTGTACTTAACAGCTCTGTCCTGAAGCATAGTAAGTTCTTGGTGGCTACTGATAGAATAAAAAGTCTCTGGACAGGGACCTAGAAACCTTTGTGCTAAGGAGAAATTATCTTCCCATTCAAAGAGCTATTTCATTATTTGCTGTCTGTGTCAGGTTACATCATCTCCCTTTGGACCTTAGTTTCCCAAATGTAAAATGAAAGGGTTAGATAAATTGTCCCTAAGGTTCCTTCTAACTCTAAGTTTTTTTTTTTTTAGTATGAATAAGAAGTCAAAGAGCCAAGCAGTTTTTGATTCAAAGCAAGGCATTAAATCCTATTAGCAACAAATATTAATCGAGTGACTACTGAGGCTTAAAGAACGTAACTTTGAGCAATAAGGCACATTTCTTGTTCTTGTGGAACTTGCGGTCTAGAATTTAAATTTAAAAAAAAAAAAGCACATATTTTAGAAAACCAGGGAAGGCTTTCTTAAGGAAATTACCCTTGAACTCAATCTGAATGTAGAGTAACTTCAAAGGAGATTCAAAATATAGCAGGCAAAGTTGGACACTGTGGCATATGCCTGTAATCCCAGTGGTTGGAGGCAGGAGGATTGCAAGTTCAAAGCCAGACTCAGCAGCTTAGCAAGACCCTAAGCAACTTAGTGAGACCCTGTCTCTAAATAAAATATAAAAGGGGCTGAGGATGTGGCTCCGTGGTTAAGCACCCCTGAGTTCAGTCCCTGGTATGAAAAATAATAAACACACACACACACACACACATACAGACACACACAGATCGGGCAGTATGTGCCATGGTGTACACCTGGCATCCCAGTTACTTGAAGGCTGAAGCAGGTGGTTCACAAATCCAAGGCCAGCCTGCTGACCTAGCAGACCTTATCTCAATAAATAAGTAAGTAAATAAATAAATAAAATTCAGGAGTAGAGCACCCATAGGTTCAATTCCCAGTATTGGGGGTGGGAGAGGATGTAGCCAGCAGAAGCTTGTTAAAGCCTGAGGCAGGAACGAGCTTGAGGATCTGAAAGAAGCTGCTCTGAAGCACACACAGTCCAGGGTTGGGTGGTGCAAGGCCTGATGGCTGGCTCGAAGATTTTTATCCTTTGGCCTAAGGGTGACAGGGGAGTTATTGAAGGGCTTAGGCAGATGACTAGCAGGCCTTGCTTCCTGAGGGTAATGAGCTGCCCTCAAGAAGGCTCTGTTGGTTATGGACATGATGGAAAGCCCTGGACTCTCCATAAGAAATTTAGAGAGCACTCACTAGTTTTACTATTCAAGTTTTACTTAGACCTATTATGGTTAATTTCTTTTTTCTATATAGATCAGTTCTATCTTTTTGAGTAGCTCTGATAAAAGATTTGATGAGATAGTCATTTATAATGTCAGTTTTGATATTCATAATTGGTGTGCTTAGCTTGATCATTTATACTTTTGTGGCAAATAGGGATCCACACCACCAATGACTGTGTTCAAGGGGAACAAACGGCCTTATCAGAAAGACTGTGTACTTATTATTAATCATGACACTGGTGAATATGTGCTGGAAAAACTCAGTAGCAGCATTCAGGTCAAGAAAACAAGGTATGTTAAAAAACAGATACAGTTTTATATGATGTTTCTAAACCTTTGTAGTATCGATTCCAGTTTTATGAAGATGTGAACATGGGATGTTCGCAACTCTGCCTGTGTCTTCTTACACAAATCAATAAAATTATTATTTTCCTTAAATACAATGAAAAGAAATAATGCTTTTAAGGGAGTAATTTATAATTAATCCAATTTTATCAAACTCATGATTGTTGTTAATAATCTACATAAGGGATGAGATTTGTATTTATAGACTTATAATTAAGAAAGAGTAATTGCATAATTTTATTGGTTAAAAACATTACTTTTTTATAGGGTACAGTTGAGTTGACTAATGCCAAAATAAAACTTTGCCTATTTTTTTGAATAGTGAACTTTCATTAATAGTTCATTCAGCTAAGCACACCATGTCTTATATGAAGCCAGTTAGAGTTTACTTGAAAATTAGAATTCATTCTATAAATAACCAGTGGTTCTATTTATTACATTGTAATACAGTAATTATTGTAACATAGTAATTCAGTTTTAAAGACAGTGTTACAATCTAATGTTTTTATGTTTGTCTCCACATACTATTTTTCTTCATTGATTCAATTCCACAAAACAATAAAAATGACTCTCATTTATTGAGAGGTTATCACAAGACAAACAATGCTTGGATGCTTTATGTGCATTATTTAATCTTTACAAATAAATTTCACAAAGGTGCTATTATATTTTAAAAAAAAAATAACCTCAAAAACACATGAGGAGACTGAAGATTAGAGGCTGTGAGTTCCCTAAATTGGTCAGCTACAACCGAGGACCACACTGGCAGCCAGCACAGAGCCCAACCCTTCTCATGCTGCTGTATTGTATGATCGCCTGCAGTGAAACAGGTGCTCTGTTACTCTTCCAGTATCTGTTGTGGTCCTCTGTTTCCTTTCTACTCAGTGTGATCTGGGGACTAGCAACATCAAATCACCTGGGTACTTGTTAGGCAGAATCTCAAGACTTACCTAAGGTCAGACTCTGCAGAAATCTCCAGGTGACAATGTGCTAAAGTTTAAGAAGCACAAAAGAAATTGTTAATGGGTAGAATTTTCTTAGTTTGCGGTAGAACTCTGTGACATGGTAGGCAAGCAGTAAATAGATAATGAAAAAATTTGTACGCTGGCCAGTATTATAAGAGCTAGTTTATTCAGGAACTCCTGAATTCATGATAACTGTGTATTGCAAACAAGTCAAAGAGTAAGATGGAATTTCATAATCACATTGTAATGTACATTTTTTTTTTTTATCATTGCTGTAAAATGTGATCTCCTTGAGGGCAACAAGTCTACTTAAAAAAAAAAAAATCTCTCTATTTTTGACACACAGTGTAGTACTGGAATGTAGTAGACACTCAGTTCTGTAGTGAGTAGTTCTCATGACCAAATGACAAATAGCAGTATTTTGCAAGGGTCTGGAAAGGGCATGGGGTTTTGCAGAGACTTCCAAGAATTTGGTCACCTGGACAAATTTGAGAACTGCTGTTTTAGCCCATCTGATTTAAAGTCTATCTCATTTTAGAGCTGAGGGGAGCAGTAAAATCCAGGCCCGAATGGAACAGCAGCCCTCTCGTCCCCCACAGCCATCACAGCCACCACAGCCACCACCACCACCACCACCACCACCACCTCCGCCGCCACCCATGTCTTTCAGAGCACCAACCAAGCCTCCAGTTGGACCCAAAACTTCTCCCTTGAAGGATAACCCCTCACCTGAACCTCAGCTGGATGACATCAAAAGAGGTAGAGAACATTCTCTAGAACCATGATAGCAACATGGAGTAGGGTGTCCATGTTCTTTAGGAGATCACAGAGCTGCTGTATTGATCTGGCAGCCCAGACATTTGCTATTATCAAAAGATTTTCTTCAAAGCTGACTCCTCCAGAACTGCTGGGTAGGGCCTTCTAGTATTTATTTGTGATTATCAACTTGTGACTATCTTGGCAGCATTCTTCTTAAAGGCTCAGACTCTAAATAAGCATGACTGCCATCTGAAGCTCCATATGGCATACCTTTAAGGCTTTTGAGAAAGAGGGTTTTAGATATTGGGGGGTGAAAACCAAATGTGGCAATGTTTCTGAGCTCCACACTAATGTACCTAAGTTAGAGGACCATTTAAAACAATATCACCAAATGCTTTGTGCTAACACAAAGTGTATAAATATGAAAGAGGCCATGTGATCAGTGGAAATGGATTCAGGTCTAGAAAGACTTAGAGGTTTGGCTTGGCTCTCCCACTGCAAATCCGAGACACAGTTACCTCAGTTCTCTTCCACTATGTAGTCTGCTCCTCCAGACTGTTAGAGGTTACGAGGTTAAGTATTTTATTTCACATTTGTAAGTTTTCACAAAACAAAATAAAATCCACAATAGTAGAAGACAGGGAAAGATAAAGAATTGTTTTGGAAGTTTGCTTTTCCCAACCTATAGAAATGCTGCGTTTTAGCACCTAAAGTCACTCTCTGCACTGTGCAGTTGTTATACCTCTTGATTTTTTTTTTTTCTTTCATTGATACTAGAATGCTGTTGTGGAAGTTTCCACTACAAAGTTGAATAGGAATAAGATGGTGAGTGGTTAGTTGTTGTGTTATGCTTAAAGGAGCCATAGCCATTTAAGGCCACATTGTATGTTTGGACGGGAAAATCTGTCATCATTCTCCATGTATCCCCAGACATCGAATGGCTAGGTAAAACACGGTTTTCCTTCCTTACATCTGTGAAAAATGCAAAACCTGACAGGCATGGCCTTTGTTCCAATATGTGAAAGCGAAGAAGAGGAATGGTATTCTGCTGTGATTCTTCACTTGCCATGGTTCTTCCTGCAAGCCTCCATAGAGTTGGACAGGACCTCAGCGGTTGTCTGGCTTTCATGTTTCCAGAATGACTTGGAAAATTCATTGACTTCCTCTTGGGTCTTTCTGTTGGTTGAAGGTAGATCCAAAATAAGCACTCAGACCTTCCAGCTCCTAGTCAAATATTTTTCCAGCCCTTTAACACAATATTTCTCTTATTTGGGGTTTCACCCAAATAAGAATCATAATTCAGAATCCCTTTTTTAAAGTAAATAAATAATAGATTTAATTTGTTTCCTATACAGAATGGTCATTATTCTGAAGCAGTCTGCTTTTTGTTTGTTTTGGTTGAATTCAGCATTTTTTTTGAATCTCTGCAAACAGGTTAGGTATTTTGTTTGTTTGTTTCGGTTTGGGTAATTTTGTTTGTATGTTTTTAAGGAGTTGAGAAGCAAGAGTTGTTCTGGCGTGTTCCTTCCTGCTGCCGTTTCGCTAGGTCACTGTTTATGGAGGCTTTGGAGCTCTGCCTTGAGAGCTGTTGCTGTGCTGACCCTGTCGTTCATGTTATTGCAGAGCTGAGGGCTGAGGTCGACATCATTGAGCAGATGAGCAGCAGCAGTGGCAGCAGCTCCTCAGACTCTGAGAGCTCCTCAGGAAGTGATGACGACAGCTCCAGTAGCGGAGGCGAGGACAATGGCCCAGCCTCTCCTCCCCAGCCTTCCCACCAACAGCCGTACAACAGCAGGCCTGCTGTCGCCAATGGAACCAGCCGGCCACAAGGAAGCAACCAGCTCATGAACACCCTCAGTAAGTGCATTCTCCCTTCAGTGGCTGAGACAGGGCCAGCAGAATCTGTAAACCTGAAGGGCTTTAAGACCAGAAGAGGATCTTGCAAAGATAATTTGGAGCAGAAAGAAGTGTGTTACCAAACAGTAAAAGACAGGCACAAAACTAAAAATCTGCTGTTTGTCTTTTCCATTTTCTACTACCACAGGTTGGGTTTTGTGAATTCTGGGAAATCCTGAAATATGAATAAATGGGTTCTTTGTTTTTGCATACACCAGGTTTAAGAGACAACCTGCCACCACACTATCCACGTCTTTTATAAAAAAGAATCCATTGCCTGTGTTTAGAAACCTACTAGCTTTGACAAGAGGGAAAAGAAGGATATTGTGATGTTTGGTTGGTTTTTTTCCTTATTCTTCTTCTGGGGGGAATTGTGCATGCTAGGCAAGTGCTCTGCTACTGAGCTGTATCCCCAGCCCTTTTCATTTTGAGACAGGGCCTCACTAAGTTGCCAGGGTGGCCTCCAATTTGTGATCCTTCTGCCTCAGCCTCCCAGGTTGCTTGGATTACAAGTGCATATTCCACACCTGGCTTGGGTGGCTTCTAATGCATGATACTAAAGTAAAGCAGGAAAACAAGAACAAAAATGCCTCTCTCTTTGGAATCCTGATGAATATTCATTTCTTGGTTCTCCTTCTCCTTTGAAGAAGTTGAAAGGTCTTTTAGCTTCGGTGGGGAAACTAACCTCATTAACTTCAACTAGGCAAAGATAATCTCAATCATTTTGGACTGGATAAATCTTTTTTGTTGTGGGGCTGTTCTATATTTTGTAGGATGTGTAAGAGCATCCCCGACCTCTGCCCACTAGATGACAGGACCAATCTCTCCCTACTGTGTCAACCAGAAATGTCTCAGTACATTGTCAGATGTGCCCTATCTTCAACATAAGTTGAACTATATGAAGAAAATCTGGCTTCACACAGGCAGGGAGTTAGAAAAGGAAGGCTTCGGGGCCAATTGCCCTGAAAGGAGTCTAGGGACTCCAGAGTCCTTTGAACAGATTTTGAGAAGAATTGGCCTAGAAATTAGCCTTCCAGAAATAGAGGTTCACTTTTGTTTTTTAATCCAAGTGGTACCAGCTGGGGTGCTATTGTATGTATTCCTGTTATATTAACATGAAATGTTGAGTCACTCCTGAATTCTAAATTTTGCATACCAAGTAACAATCTGGGGCTTTGTAAAGCTTTTAGTTCACATTCAAGGTTTAAAGTAAGATGAATATCTTGGACAGAGGTGTATCAGAGGGGACATTGGATTAGCATACAACTGTGTAAACAGCATTCAGCTTCCACAATGGAAGCCTCACTTGGTGTTTTCTTAGCTTATATGAAACAACTTAATGTGAACAATGCCAGCAAAGGGATCTTAGTTTCTTGTCATGTATTAACACATTTAAAAGCTGTCTGGCCTACTTCTCCCTTGTTCTATTCTAATGAGCAGTACTGCTGGGCTTTGCGGATACCAAAAATAGCATTTCTTTGGAAATGTTGATTATACCAGTTTTTTCGGTTAGCCAAATTGATTTTCCTCCCTGATTAACTCATTAAGCCCCAAGCTTTTAGTTCTATGTATATTTCAATGAAATTGACACAGGTGTATTAAAATAGTCTGGAAATCATACTGTAGTCTTATATTAATAATATTAATTAGTGTTATATTGACTGATATTATAATTGTTATAATTCTCCTTGTTGTTATATAATCACATCTTGTATGCTGTATTTTAAGTTTTTGTGCATGTTCCACATCTGAGACAACAGAACAAAATGGGTTAAGTTGAATTAGCAAGGTTTTATGGTAGTGTGATAGCCGAGGCAGTCCACTAATGAACTGGGGGAAGTCTTTGTTAAGGTTTATTCTTTCCTTTCTGTAGGAAATGACTTGCAGTTGAGCGAGTCTGGCAGTGACAGTGATGACTAGCACCGGATCTTTCAAAATCTACTTTCTGGTGCACGAACCTGCTGCAAGACCGGGCTGCTTTTGCATGGAGTCCGTTGCCAGGAGGAACATGTCGTGGATCAGTGCCTGTAGTAGGAGTTGGAGGTTCTGGCGCTCTCGGATATTCAAGTCTTTAACTTAGTGGTGATGGGTGATTTTCTCATGTAATTTTTGAACAATCTCTTATTTCAAAGTTTAAGTAGATCTATAGAAGAACTAACAGGATTATATTTCTATTTGGTTAACATTGTTAATGAAAAACAGACAGATGTGCCCTGGCCTGGGTTACTCAAAGGCACTGTCTTCACCAGGCCAGTGAATTGGTTTTAACCCTCCATAGCCATCCGTTCGGCCTAGTGGTCTGCATCAGTGAAATGAAACAATCTGGAGGAGCAGGAGGAAGGGAAACCTCAAACTGCATCATAGAAACATGCATAGAAATATGGCAAAACCACTTTAAATTGTTGATACTAAGTGGTAAGGAAGCTTGTCTGACCCAGCCTGACAAGCCCATGTAGAAGTGGACTTGAGTGGAGTCCTCGGGTGTCAGCTGGGCGGGGAACCTTGAGATCTGGCAGCACAGTCCCCTCATTTACAGGCTAGGAAAGGAAAGCACACAGCTGGCCAGGGCCAGTGTCCAGGCCCAGTCCAGGGTTTTTCTCACTGCTCCCTCCCTGAATTTCACTTAGTGGAATCAAGAGATGCTTACACGTGGAACTTTTAGATGTACATTGGCACTTTTATTGGATTCCAAAAGACAAAAGCACTGGGTATTTCTAGCTTGAATTCAGATCCAGACAGTCCTTAAACACTCGAGGCTGAGTGAGCAGATCAAACCAGCAGCCGTGGTGCTGACACACGGAACTAGGTAGGATCGAGGCTTTTCGTTCCGTGTGTTCCATCTTAGGTGATCTTCATTCGGTGGTTTTTGACAGGGGTGGGGGGTAGGAGTGGAAGAGAGGCGTAGTGAAGAAACCTCTCCGAACACACAAACCAGCAGGAAGTTTTCAGAAACCAGAGCCTAGATAGGAGTTCTGCAATATGGAATGAGCACATTCTTTGATAAGGTTTTTCTGTTTAATGCTTTTCTACCACTGTTTGTGCCTGACTTCCAGACTGACTTGTATTTTTTATATAAAACCAGAAGAAAGTCACAAGATTGCCTTTGACAGTGTGCAGTTTCCAATTGAATCTGTTGTTGCTGGAAACTGGTCGCTAGTAAATGTTCCATGTTGAGTGAATGTGTGGTAAACCATCTAGTGATACGTTTGGAGGAACCCATCTGTATCGTCTTAGTGGCTGTGTCCTCAGAAGTTTCTGTCTGCTTTGTTTCAGTAGGCATCAAGACATTAATGATTTTCCTTCCTTGGGTTCCTCTACTCAGATGACCTCTCCCTCCCTAGCTAGTGGAGGGACACAGTCTGAACCTAGAGAAGAAAGGGGTGGCCCATGTGGGGGCTTTGGTCAGAGTTGTACCTTGTAGGTCAGTTATTTCATCCACATAGTGACTCCAGGGAGCTGGGGGTGGGACAGGAGCTGTTCCCCAGCAGCATGCCCGCACCAGGGTAGGAACTTATCTATAGTGAACTGATAATTGCTTTATAATTACTTGCAGATGACAGCTCAGGGAAGGCTAAGGTCAGGATTGGGAGACTTGAATTGTTCCTGGATGTGGGAATTGTGTCACTGCTCTTAACTTGCTCAGACTGGGGCAGGTTCTAGGAACTTGAATGAAGAATATCTATTTAAGCCCCCCCTCCCCTGTTTTTTTCTCCAAAAGCCTTGATTTCTGTAGTCAGAAATGGTTTTTGGCATGTTAGGTTGATACTTGTTTCTATAGGAAATACTTGCATGTGGCACTGGGCTTGGTGAGTGACGCTTTCTGAGCTTCACACACTCTCCTATGTCATCTGTCCACCCAGTACTGCATGGGAATTCTTCAGTGTGGCTCTGGGTTTTGTTCCCTGTGCAAAGCCTTCAGTGCTTCTGTTCTTCCATTATATTCCCTACCCCGACCCAACTTTCCCCACCAGAATAAGGAATCTTTTCTTTTCTAGAAACGTATTCTCACAGATGAATTCTCACAAATATCCTTCTGCTAGCCAAATTGGATTTTTTTCTTCTGTCTTTGTGCCTCCTCTCTCTCCTGCTCCTCGTCCTCACTCCAGACTCCACTTCTGAGGCTCTGTAGGTACCATCTTCATGGACTCTTCCTCTACTCATTTCATACCCCTGTGAAGTACCCTGTGTGCACAAACTGAGCTTTCTCTTGCTTGAACTCTGGTTGGTGTGAGCTCCTTAAAATTAGGGACTGTCATCACAGGCTATTCTGGTGCGTAAGCCTGGTCGGGGAGGAGGCAGAGAAGGCTAAGCAGTAAAGCCCAGGAGAGAACGTTCCAGGCATTTGGACTAAACTGACCATACAGTGCCTGTGCTGAAGTCTCTTAACTGAATTGTTAAGTTGCCTCTTAATGCAGCGTCTCTGCTGTGGGTCATTTAGGCAGGGTAGAAAGATGAAGTCTGGAGTGTCTGAGGAGCCATGGCAAGTCTTAGTAAAAACGTGATTTGGGGAAACATAATACAAATGAACTAGAGATTTCTTTTTTTTTTTCTTTTTTTTTTTAGAGAGAGAATTTTAATATTTATTTTTCAGTTTTGGGCGGACACAACATCATTGTTTGTATGTGGTGCTGAGGATCGAACCCAGGCCGCACGCATGCCAGGCGAGCGCGCTACCGCTTGAGCCACATCCCAAGCCCCGAACTAGAGATTTCTAATAATGCCACTCATCATTTTATTTCTGTAACAGAATTATTTTTTCTATGTGGTTTGCTTCAGTGGTAGGAAGACTTGAAAATTCCCAAATTTTTACTTCCCTATTAGACAGGCTGGTTCAGTAGAGAGAGAGAGAGAGAGTGTGTGTGTGTGTGTGTGTGTGTGTGTGTGTGTGTGAGAGAGAGAGAGAGAGGTATTTATTACATTATTTTGAAAAATAATTATTTGTTTTGTGGATATATATTAGGTACAGCCAAACTGGATATTTCCATTTGGCAAGAAAAGTAGGATTTCTGAAACTCAGGCCTTAACCAATAGGTTGGAAGACAAGACCAATTGAAGTGTTATGAAATGTGTATTTTTGTTGCTTTTGTTGTTTCTGTCTTGGTTCATGTCTCATTCTTTCATGATTTTTAAAATCTTGTGCCTAAAATTTCATTTTGCTTAATTATGAAATAGACATGCATGTTTACATTTATGTAAAATATTTGCTGTATAGAGTTTTTTGTTTATTCTATTAAAAGATCACTATATTTAAATAAAAAATGAAGGTAAGCAATATACATAATGTCTTCATGTTTTTTGTTTCCTTCATAGAATAAGTAATATAAGGTTCTTTTAAGAATTCTTTGTACTTAAAGCCTAGTTGGCTAAATTGGTTCCTTTTTAATTTGGTGAATATGAAGTACACTTTCATTTTTTAAAAAGTGTGACATTCAAAACTGAAGGATGAACTTCAGTTTTTAAAAGGCAGAGTTTAAAAGTTCAGGGGGGCAGAATTTGATGGTGATTGAGGAAGAGCCTCCTGCAATCTTTCCCCACCGATATCAAGTTGAACAATGCACTAAACTATTAGCATAAGAGCCAAGAAAATCAGACCATAGTGCCGGCTCTTAGTTTAACAAAACAAAAAGACCATTGAAGAAGACAGGAAAGAAAAAGCTGCCCAGGTCACTCCCGTTGCCTCTTGCTTGAGGGTGGGAGAGAAAATTAAATTCAGGCCCTGCTCTTGAAACCCAGCACTAGGCCCATCATGGTGAAGCTCAATGCTGGGCAAGGCCCTGTGACCCTTACCACCAGGCCAAAACCTGTGAGCTGAACTGGGGGATCTGCTTTAGGCTAGGTGACAGAGATCGACTCCACCACCCCTGTCCCAACTTCAGGCAACAGAGCCCTGAGCTCGACTCCCATCTGCTAGGGAAAAGGCATGAAAGGTAACAGGGTTTTGTCTGAGCTCTGGATTAGCTTTAGGATCTTTAGGCAGGGACCTGTGGTCTGCAGTATACATCCAGGATTAGGCTTCAGCAGTTCCAGCTTGAGTGAGCCTGGAGATCACCTGCCTTCCTAAGACCATGCAGGTCTCTGGCTATGAGACTCAGGTGCCACCCAGCTTAACAGCACCCTTGGTGGCCAAGGGACTACCTCCACCACTGATCCTGCAACCTCAGGCATCTCAGCTATTACCAGGCTAGTGCTCACAGATGGCACTTAAAACTGCCCCAGCACCAGGCAGAGACCTGCACCCCCGTGGGACAGACTCCTGTTTTGTCCTGCATCACCACTGGCTGTGGTGTGGGCCTTGATATAAACTTGAGGATGCAGGTTCTTTTTTTTTTTTTTTTTTGAGAGAGAATTTTAATATATATATATATTTTTTTAGTTTTCGGTGGACACAACATCTTTGTTTGTATGTGGTGCTGAGGATCGAACCCGGGCCGCACGCATGCCAGGCGAGCGTGCTACCGCTTGAGCCACATCCCCAGCCCCCCTCAGGATCTTATAGCTGTGAGATTCAAGCATGACCAAGCTTAACAGCTTGGGTGACCAAGGTTCTGTTTTTACCAATTAATTTAATTTATTCTAAGAGTTTGCTTAATTTATTCAAATAATTTAGTGCCCCATAATATGTATAAATTTATTTGTATATTAAATAAAAAAATAAAAAAATTAACAAGCAAAAAGTATGAAGTTCAAAACTGAAGGGTAACTTTAGCAAGCCCCATGGCATCTAAGGCCACTTTACTCAGTCTGGAAAATCAGGCTTAGCTTGGGGGCTGAGAACCAGGCAGGCAAGAGTTAAACTGAATCCCAAGCTTATTCTCTAGGCAGTTTAGTACACCAAATTCCTTCTACCTGGAATGTTATCTTTTTCTGTCTCTGTCTGTATGTCTCTCTCTCTGGGCCTCCAGTTAACATTCAGCTGGGAGTGAGCCTGCCCTCCAGATTCGCTTCTACACTTACACTTCAGCAGTACCCAAATCTGCCTTGGGGTCTTGACTCTCCTGCTTGACTATAAATTCCTGGTTGGGAGCGATATACCATATCAACAGAGGAAAAAAAAAAAAGTATTCCACCAAAGAAAAGCCCAGACTAGAGGGCTTCACTGACCATATTTTTTAATTCTCTATGGTGTCTCCAATGGGTATTCAGTGAGTTTGGACAGAATAAAATTATGAGTTAAGAGAATAGTTTAGGAGCCTTCTGCTACTTGTGGTGCATTGGTACCCATGCTCACAGGTGCAAATAGACTATCTCAGTGAGAAAGTGGTAGTAGATATTGATTACCTGAGGAGCTTTATCCTGCTTAACCATCGCTGCCAAAATGGTATGTCACAGACCGTCCCAAAACACAATGGCTTAAAAAGATAAGCATTTATTTTGCTCACAAGTTGGTGGATTGCAATTTAGACTGGGCTTAGCTATGTTCTGGTCTTGACTGCAATCGCTGACATGTAATTGACTAAAACAAGCCATGGGGCCAAGGGATAGGAAACACCCTTTTCCCCTGGTTGTTGGAAGAAGTTGTATGTGCATTTTTGTTTGTTTGTTTAGGGGTAAATTTCATTTTAATGGTTTTGGCATCAAATGAGGGAATAAACAGAGCCATTGAGATTCCTGGGTGAATGGGGTATGGTAGGGAAAATGGACCACTTACTTGCATTGGATAAAACTTTTCTCATCAGGTAGCAGAGACTGAGAAATGAAATTCAAATTTATGCCTATCCAAATGTTGAGACAGAGCTTGCTGCAAAGGTGCGAGAGTCTCCTTCAAGGGCAGCAAGAAGTCAAAGCATAGACACTGGTGCAGACGGCAGCCTTTACAATAAGACAAAAAGGAAGCCATACTCTTTTCCAGGAGGCAGAACCAGCTGCCCCCAAAATATTCTGGTTTGGGCAGGAATGAGATTGCTCCAATCTCACTAAGATGAGGACATGACAGCAGAAACTTGGGAAGGTTAGAAAAAGATTTGCTGCTTATTTATTTTAAATGATTTTTAAAATCAACAACAATGTAGCACTGTCTCACTTTAATCTAAACCCTTGCTACTCACCGTGTGGTGGGACTAGCAGTGTGTCACCTGGAACTTAGAAATGCAGAACCTCAGGACCCATCCTAGATCCAGAATGAAAATCTGCTTTTCAAGAGGATCCCAGGGTAATCTAATCTGAATGCATCAGTTGGCAAAGCTAAACTTTTTCTCTGCAGAAACTGACATTTCTGTCACAGCTGCTCACTTTCTGTAGGGAGATTGCACGTGCATTTGAAAGCCCCCAAATAAACTTTTCCTTCTTAAAATGTGGAAGTGAGAAGAATTGGGCTATTAAAGCAACCAATCTGTGGTGTCTACATATCCCATATCTCTTTCCCATTGCTCAGGGAGAATTCTTGGAGGTTGGATCTCCAAAGGACCTCCCAGCTCTGGCACTGATGGAAAGTCCCAGTGGGTGGTAGATTTCTACTCATGGTTCCTGCAGATGGCGCCAAATGCAAGCCAATGGTTTCTCTAGGCCCTTCCCTCTATTTGCTGTTCATAGTTTGCTTCCCTCTATTTGCTGTTCATAGTTTGCTTCCCTCCTATCCTCTCTTGCCCCAAACACTATTCTAGTTATCTATGACTAAGTAACAAAGTACCCCAAAACTTGGTGGGTTAAAACAATTAGCATTCTATTACATGGAATCAGTTGGTTAGAATTGGGACCCAGGTTGGCTAGGCAATTCGGTTCCTTATGGCTTCAACGGAGGTTACTCTGGTACTCAGCAGGCAGATGGGTTGAACTCAGGGCTCCAAGCTGATTTCATTCATGTGTCTGGCACCTGGTTGGGGATGGCTAGAAATAAACTCCTCTGGGACCATCAGCCACACCCTACATAACCTCTACAGCTTGGCCATCTCATGGTAACTGGCCTTCTTCCATACATCGGCTTCCTCTGAAACAGGTGTTCTGAGAAGCTGCTTGGCCTGTTATGACCTAGCCTGGTGTTATGGTTTGGATGTGAGGTGTCCCCCAAAAGCTCATGTGTGAGATAATATAAGGTTTAGAGAAATAATTGGGTTATGACAGCCTTAACCCAATTAGTGAATTAATCATCTGATGGGATTGAGTGGTAACTGAAGGCAGATAGGGGTCTCTATTTGTCTCTGGAGAGTGGAGTCTCTCTCTGCTTCCTGATCACGATGTGAGCTGCTTCCCTCTGCCACACTCTTCGGCTATGAAGTTCTGCCTCACCTGGAGCCCTTGGGTATGGAGCCTGCTGTCTATGGACTGAGACCTCTGAAACCACAAGCCCCCAAATAAACTTTCCCTCCTTAAATTTTTTTTTTTTTCTTTTAGTTGAAGCAGCAAAAAATCCAAGACACCTGGGAAGTCACACAGTGTCACATCCTATCGGTCATAGCAGACCAATAGATTCCAGGGAAGGGGCAATAGTCTCCACTGCTCTAAAGGAGAAGCATCAAAAGCCACCCACCCAAAGCTCCAGGGTTTGTCCCTTGTTCCTTCCATCTCATCTGTCATTGCTCTCAGATGAGTTATCTCCCCCTCAGCAGTGGCTCTTAAATTATAATCCTGGATCAAGCAATATCAGGATTTTCTGGGATCTTGTTAAAAATGCAAATTGTCAGGTCCCACCCTGGATCTACTGAAGCAAAACGGTGATGGGAGGGGGGGGTGGACAGTGATGTGACAGGCCCTCCACATGATTCTGATGACCCATAAGGCTGAGGGCCACTTGGTTCCCACTGGTGAACCCCAAGTGATGACCCAAGACTGTGATTTCTGCCTTCAGTGTCCCATCTGAGGTGATCAAGGATGGAGAGTAGCATGCAGGTGGGCCATATGGTGGAGTATGGTATTGTTATGGGCTGGAACACCAAAAGCCCAATCTAGAAGAACTGGGGTGATAGGAGGGAGAGTGATAAGGCAAGCTATGTCCTCATTGGAGAAGCATGCCTGTAATCCCAGCAGCTCGGGAGGCTGAGGCAGGGGGATCATGAGTTCAAACCCAGCCTCAGCAACTTAGCAAGGCCCTAAGCAATTTAGCAAGACCCTGTCTCTAGATAAAATATAAAAAGGGCTGAGGATGTGGCTCAGTGGTTAAGAAGCCTTGGGTTAAAACCCCAGTACCAAAAAAATAAAATTTAAAAAGTGAGCTCATGTAAGTAGCTTCAAAAGGGAATGAAAAATATCCCCGGGTATTCATAGCCACTAAAATATAATAGTGACACAGATAAAATCTAACACTTCCAAAACAGTTTCTAGGTGTCAGCAATTTATTACAACCTTGGAATATGATACTATGACTCCTAGTTTATAGATAAGAATACAGAGACCCAGAGAAGTTAACTCTGCAAGACAATTAAATTATGGGTCAGTAACAGAACCATGCTTCAAACATAAAAGTGGTATTTGAATCTTCTTCTTTTTTCATAAGCGATACCACACCTTTCTTGACCTATGGCACCCTCTGAGAGTCAGCCTCTCTGAGTGGAGCTGTCAGAATTAATCATGAGCTTACTGGGTGTGAGAAGTCTTCCCAAATATGTGTCCCAAGGGCCTCAGCATTTATTCCTGCCAAAAGGAGAAGCAAAACAGAGACGACCATTCTAATGTAGGGATGTGGAACAAGGTGTCTGAACGCCTCATGGTTGTGGTGCGCTTGGGCTGGGCTCTCCCTGTGCAAAAGTACAGGTTAATATTGCCCAGTTGCTATGGCAATGCCAACCAGTGGTCACTCTGAACTCAGACACTGGCTCCCAGGGTTAGAGGATTCTGAGCATAGCCAGATAATCACAATGTCTCATCAGCGCTGTGACCTCCAGCCTGCCTGCTTTGCAGAAACTCTCTCACAGATAACCTTTTGATGATAAAACCTGTATAATAAATGTGTGGATCCAGCTCTGGGTCACTGTTTTTCTTAATCTCCCATTGCCCCTCGTGGGTTTCTGGGGGTTCAGCCATGCAGGTCGCAGCCGTAATGGACATTATGTTAATTCAGCATCCCTTCCCTTCTTTTTGTCCCCAATATTCAGTCCAGTAATCATTCCTTCCCCTTGCAGCTTCTGCTTCTGCAGAATATCCAGTGGATAGGCTAAGAGAAATTATAACCTTGGGTGCCATGGGTTCCAGAACTTAGCTGTAATTCCATCAGCAGGTACGTTTTCCTGCCAATTCAGAAAATGAGCATGAGAACCAAAACAGGCCAAGGAAGCGCAAGGCAAGATTTACTGGGAACTTCTGGAAAAGAATTTCTTGAGAACCAATGGAATAGAGGTTTTCTGCGGTTATCGTAGGGTTCAGACGTACTCTTGAAATTGCCATAGTCAGCCCATGACCACACACTAAGGATCAGATGAATAGAAGAGATCCAAAAAGCATTGAAGACAGCAGGGCCGTGAAATGGGAGCCTTCATTGAACCATGCTTGATCTCCACCTCTCACTGGGCTTTTAAGTTGTATGAGCCCATCAATACTACCCTGGCATGGCCTCATTTGGTTCCTGACCACTTCTCTGGAGACCGTCCTACATTTTCAGCCATTTTATGTAACAGGCTCAGCCTGAGGGGGTGTTTTAGTCAGCTTTTTTTGCCACTGGGACTAAAGGACCTGACCAGAATGATTGTAAAGGAGGAAGAGTTTATTAGAGGGCTCACAGTTTCAGAGGTCTCAGTCTATGGACAGCCGGCTCCATTCTTTGGGGCTCAAGGTGAGGAAGGACATCATGGCAGAAGAGTGTGGCATGGGGAAGCAGCTCACATGGTGATCAGACAAAACTGAGAGAGAGAGAGATTCCATTGGCCAGATACAAGTACATACCCCAAAGCCAGGCCCCCAATGAACCACTTCCTCCTGCCACACCCCACCCGCCTCCAGTTCCCACTCAGTTAATTCCATCAGGATCAATTTAGTGATTAGGTTAAGGCTATGACCCAATCATTTCTCCTCCAAATCTTCTTGCATTGTCTCACACATGAGCTTTTGAGGAACACTACATCTAAACCATAACAGGGGGTCCATCACCACTCCTAGGGATTACCCTGTCAGAGCTAGAGGGCGGAGTCCAAATTCACTAGCCATTAAGAGTTGGAAGAACTTTTCTAAAGTCTCTTTCAGGTGTGGAAATTTAAGCTATGAGAAGTAATGTACCCAAAGTTATCTTGGGAAACATTTAGCTGGCACAGGTGAGCTCTTGAATGCCTAGCCTATTTACAAGTGCCCCTTTGTGATGCACTTATTTCTGTTCAAGGGGAACCTATTTCCTCCATCACCAAGTTAGCATTTCAAGGACGGGCTGGTGGGGGCCACCTGTCTCCTGTGATCTCTCTCATTTTTCCATTTCAGAATGCCAAAGGCACTGAATTACTATTTTTATATACATTTTTAAATATGTAATTTGGGGGGGGTACCAGGGATTGAACCAAGGGGTACTTAACCACTGAGCCACATCCCCAGCCCCTTTTTTATATTTTATTTAGAGACAGGGTCTTGCTAGTTGCTTAGGGACTCTCTAAGTTTCTGGGGCTGGCTTTGAACTCACAATCCTCCTGTCTCAGCCTCCTGAGCTGCTGGGATTACAGGCGTGCGCCACCGCACTCAGCTAAACATGTAATTTTGAATACTTTTTTTGTCCTGAGACTTTCAAAAACCCTCCCTTGAAATAACTGGAGATAGGCCCACCCCTAATATTTTGGGTTCCAGAGAAGAGTGAAATGAACACCTGTATTCCAAATACCTAAATATTCACATCATAATCAAACAATTATTTAAATTTGTTCTGTTTACCTCAACAAATATACTTTCATAAAGACCATGTATATGGCCTATTTAGATTCTACAGAGTCCCTGACACCATGAAAGCACTAGGAAAGCAGGGGCCAGGCCCCAGCCTGACCTCCCTCGCCCATCCACATTGAGAGGGACTTCATGTGCACCCATGGAAACCCCAACCTCCATCTAATCCTTATGAATGGCTTTTCTTTGGCCACTCCTCAGACTTAGAGGTGTGCACTGGCCACACTCAGGAGGACAGACACAGGGAGGAGGAGGGTGCAGGCTCAGGACATCTTGGGCAGGGAATTGTGTTTTCCTGGGAACCTGGAGAGTGTGCAAGCTCTAGCGGGCATGCCACCTTGGCCCCATGGACTCCCCACCCCCTGGGGAGGGTCAGGTCAGAGAAGGTAGGAATGCTGCCCTCCAAGGTGTGGGACCCAGGGCAGGGTCCCTCTTGGCCAGATCTCGGGGTAGTTCTAGATCTCCACCCATGTCAAACAAGGTCCTAAAGCAAGATTAGAGAGAAGCCTGGGCTAGCAAGACTGGACTCTGTGACCTTTGGCAGGTCCTACTACCTCCTCCTGTTGAGCATGAGGAAGCTGGAATGCTTTCATATTCCAGAACCTTCCGTAGAATCCAGGAAGCACAACTGAGTTCGGGCTCCTCATTCTAGCCAGCAATATTGAAATGCTGGCCTCATCCTCCCAAGGAAGAGTGAGCCATGGTGAGGAATCCGCTTGCTTGCTTTCTTTGCTTTTTCTTTCTTTCTCTCTTTCTTATTATTTTTATTTTTTAAATTATTATTGTTGCTGTTTTGGGCACCGGGGATTGAACCCAGGGGTTCAACCACTGAGCCACATCCCCAGCCCTTTTAATTTTTAATTTGAGACAGGGTCTAAGTTGCTTAGGGCCTTGCTAAGTTGCTGATTCTGGTCTCGAACTTGTGATCCTCCTGTCTCAGCCTCCTGACTTGCTGGGATTACCCACATGTGCCACCACACCCGTCATGCCTTTATTTCTTGATCTCTCATCTGGAAGTCCCAGGATGTCCATGCAAGCAACATTCCCCCTCCTCCCCATCCCCAAGACTTGTCCCAGAGACCCAGGGAACTAGCTGATCAATGCTCCTGCCTTGGAGGACACCATCTTTGGGATAATGTCACCACAGACCACCCAGATGACCTGCTGGGCCACAGTTTCTGCTTGCTGAGTCCTTAAGACTCAGGTTCATTGAAAAGCTTTGTACAAAAGCTCAGGGTGTGGGGTGTGTCCCTCCTTCTGGAAATAAGAGGGGAAATCCTGGTGATGTCTTTCCCTGATAAACCCAAGCCCTCTTCAGGAAATACAGCCATGAGAAGTGGCTCACAGACAGGCAGGACTAAGGATTCTATAGAAAAGTGAAGAGTGCAGGCACACAGACAGGAGGACAAGGATGTGCACAATGCAGTTACAAAAGGGGAGTCAAAGGGAACCCCAAGAGTCAGCAGGAAGTGAGGAGATGCACCTCAGGATAGAAACAGTCTGCTGAGAGTGTCCTTGCAATGGGACCCTAGATGGGGAAGGCCAGGACTGTATATGCCTAAGGACACGGAAACACCAACATCTTCCCAGGTGTGTGGAGTTATGGAGTGAGTCTCCTGAACAGGAAATGGAAATGAGGGGCACTCCTTGCAAGACAGAGGTCAAAGTACAGAAAGCCACAAGATCAAGATGGGCAGGGATTTTGAATCTCTTAAGAATCCCGCTGTGGGAAACATCAAGAAGAGAGAGGCCACTGCTCTGCTGTTGTTTGCAGGCAAGTGACTCAGCTGAGCCTCCACCCTCTGCTCAGGGGTCATTTCCTGAGTGGGCAGTGCAAAGGTGAGCATGGGTTTTGTGGCATTCTCAGTACTTTTTCACAGTTGGGTCTCTTCCTGGGGGAGCCATTTCCACATGAAGCCGGGTTGTCCTCTGACCAGATGAAGAGTCCCTGGCGGGGTCCAAAGCTGTGAGCCACAATGAGAGAACATGTCCACTTCACTGCTGTGTGGTTCTCAGGCCTTTGAGAGACCTGACAACTGGCTGCCCAGCTAAGAACACCTGTGTGTCTGGAGGTCCAAGAGACCAAGAAGCCTATACACTAGACTTCCCAAATCAGCTCCCAACAAACTAAAACAGCCCTGCAGGTTTACATGAGTCTAACAGTGCTAAGCCAAGTCCACGGCCTGTGCCAACGACAATCCAGAAGAGAAAGGGCATTTTAGCTGGCTCTTAGGCCAGATGGTAGAGGCAGGGAACAGTTCCCAGGGTGGGCATGTAGAAAGTTTTCTGGTACTTTGGATTAAGACAGGATGCAGTGGTCCTAAATTCTTCCAGTCAGACAGAGTCAAAAACACGTCTTAGCAGCGAGAATTCATCCTTGTTTTTGTCACACAAAAGTTGGTGGACACTGGCCCAGGAGAGCGCAAGGCCAACTTGACAGGGGTTGAGGAAGCTGCTGCCAGTTCTGTGGGCTGCAGCCCACCTGTTCCTCACACCCCTCATGTGAAGTAGCGGCAGGGTGTGGAGTCGATGTAACAGTACTGGGTGCACCGCAGGTCTCCATATGACCTGAGGAAGGCAAAGACACAGGTCAGGGCAGACACGGGACAGTGGGCAGGCAAGCTCCTGCCCAGATCTGAGAGCAAAGCTGTGTTCTAGAAGGCTACCTCAAAAAGCAGCTCCTTCGCCACTGTACCAAAGGCCAGGGTTTCTATGAAAATATTTCCATTTTTCTTTGGGTTGCAGGGATTGGAGGAGTTGAGTCGGGTCTCTGGACTTTTTTTTTTTTTTTGCCTTGAGCCTCATCTGAGCGACTAGGGTGGCAGGACAAGCATCCTCAAGTCCTGAAGGGGTCCCAGTGCCATTCATGAGGCCCATGGTACTGAAGATACACACGTCCAAAATGCCTGTACTGGCCAGATGTGGCTATTGAGTTCTTAAGAGATGGCTGCTGTGACCAAACTGAATTTAAAACTTAATTTTGTACCAGGGATTGACCCCAGAGGTGCTTAACCATTGAACCACGTACCCAGCCCTTTATTTTATTTTATTTTTACTGGGGATTGAATTCAGGGGCACTCGATCGCTGAGCCACATCCCCAGTCCTACTTTGTATTTTGTTTAGAGACAGGGTCTCACTGAGTTGCTTAGCGCCTCACTAAGTTGCTGAGGCTGGCTTTGAACTTGAGATCCTCCTGCTTCAGCCTCCCGAACTGCTGGGATTACAGGCGTGCACCATCACACCCGGCCTAATTCTAACTATTTTACACTTGAATAGCCACATTTTTGAGGGATGCCATATTGGACAGGGCAGTCTATACCTCTGTAAAACCAAGTGATAATCCCAACACATTGTCTTATACATGATACATACATTCAGAACTATCCCTCTGAGGCTTCTAGGGATGAGGGAAATAGCCACAGTACCCTGGGCTCTGCTCCACCTGAACTCCATGTCTGAAAGTCTGCATTTTTTTTTTTAGTGGAGGAGGGTACCAGGATTGAACCCAGGGGTGCTTAACCACTGAGCCACATCCACAGCCCTTTTTTTCATTTTATTTAGAGACCAGGGCTTGATGACTTGCTGAGACTGGCTTTGAACTCGAGATCCTCTTGCATCAGCTTTCCCAGCCTCTGGGATTACAGGCGTTGTGCCACCAAGTGCGGCCTTATTGTCTACCCTTAATTGTCTCCACGGAGCCATCAAATAGCTCAGCCCTGCCAATTTTCTGGCAGGTGCCTATTAGAAGCCTTCCTTGTTTCAGGAAGTAGGCATTGTACACAGACACATATTTGTAGTGAGGTCCTGGCCAAGGCTTGCAGGCCGGGGGTGACTATAGGTGAGTAATTCCCCTGACCTGGTTGACTATGCTGGTATGTGTTTGGAGGGTGGTGTTAAGGAAACCCCCTTGAAAGAGAGAAGAACGGAGGCAATAGAGAGACAGACATGGTGTCTGTTCCCCAGTCCTGCTGAGGGCCTGAGCCCAAACCTATAAGATGAAAAGGACTGGAGGTAAAAGCTGAAGAGATCGGATTCACAAGGGATCTAAGAAATCTAAGGAAAAGTGGATCCACTCTGGAGCACAGGGAAGACCAGAACGTGGATTTGGGGGGAGGGAATGGTCTCTCTATTTTCTCTAGAACATTCTACAGCTCTGGTTCTGCACCAGAAGGCTACATTCTGGACAGGGAATCAGCACCTCACAGGGCCAGTGGCCCTCAGGTGGCTTGGGAGATGTCAATGTAGAGGCCAAGACACTACTGCACTTGTACTGAGCATTGAGAAAAACTGATGGAGAGTCTCAGAAATAACTATCAGGGTCCTTGAAGGGAATATTTTCTCGGAGGTGCCATAAATTAGCAAAATTAGATATCAATGTTGGCCTGATTTCACTTGGGTGCAAAGGCCTGCACCCAAAGGCAGATTATTCCAGGGAATTTTGGTTGTATTGATAAGAAGATGCTTGGAAATCCCCTGGCATTTCTACCTTCCATTGGGCTTCCCCCCAAGGCCACTGCCCACCCAGGAGATGGATGTGGCCATAGTAACCACCAGGGATTACCAGCTGACTTAGGGATTCTCTCTGGACCCAGGATAGAGCTGGTGACTGTGTCTGCCCTGGCTCAGCTTCAGGGCCTGCAGGCTGCTCTGACTGAGAGGAAGTATGGACATTGGGTGCTGATTGCCTGTCTCCCCATTGAACAGAAAGCTCCAGGTGAGTCGGGACCATGTTCTGTGTTATTCATCACCTCACCTCCGTGCCTAGAAAGGACCAGAAACATGAGAGGCACTTAAAAAATATGTGTGAAGGAAAGGTGGGTGAAGGAGGGGAGGTCAAGGCAGGAGGAGTTTGTCTTAATAGCACATAAAGCCAGGTGCGGTGGTGCACGCCTGTAATCCCAGCAGCTCTGGAGGCTGAGGCAGGAGGATTGCAAATTCAAAGCCAGGCTCAGCAACTTAGTGAGAGACTAAGCAACTGTCTCTAAATAAAATATTAAAAGGGGTTGGGGGATGTAGCTCAGTGGTAAAGTGTCCCTGGGTTCAATTCCCGGTAAAAACAAACAAAACCAGGGTAAAGCCTTCCCTACCCAGGGAGATAGGTCTCGCATGTCAGGTAGCCAAAGTCGGAGCCGTCACAGTCCTCCACGCCCTCGTGCCGGTGACCATCTCCACAGTAGGCCCGGTGACAACCTGAGGGGACACAGGAAGTGTAGCCCTGAGAAAGGGCAGGGTGTGACAGGCTTGCCTCAAAGGTCCCCCC